CTCCGCCGAATGCACCCAGTGGCAGCGCCCGCACGCGTGCCCGCGCTCCTTGTCGGCACATTTCTCACACGTCCGGGGCCCATGCCCCATAGAGTTGGAAGCTCCACCGAAGGCCCCAGGGCAGCGCCCGCTTGGCTCGAGCAACAGCAATGTTGTGGCACGCTGCCAATTCGCCGGCCCAACGGGCCAGGGCGTGCTAAGATCTCCGGTACCTGGTTAACAGTATTTCTAGCTCGCGCGCGCGGGGCGGCCCCTGGGGGTCCCCGGACGAAAAGTACCCCGGCAAGGTCCCGGCAAGTCCCCGGCAAGTCCCCGGCAAGGTCCCGGCAAGGTCGGGCAGAGATGCCGGAGTTCTGTTTCGGAGTCCAAGAGGGCTCCAGATCGGTCCAAGAGGGCCCCGAGAAGCTTTCTAGACGGTCCAAGAGAGGCCCGAGACGGCCAAAGATCGCCCGAAGACGCCCCAGATGGCCCCAAGACAGCCCAAGAGGCCTCCAAGACGCTCCAAGGGCCTTCCAAGAGGCCTCCGAAGAGGGCCCCAAGTTGCCAAAATCGTTGATGTTCATTGGTTTTTTCTATGTTTTTTTGCGTTCTGGCCTTTTCGCTTCCGGACGCTCCAAGAGGGCCCAAGAGGCCTTCAAGACTGCTCCAAGACGGCCCACGAGGCTCCCAAGACGGCCCCGGAGCGGCCCAAGAGCGCCCCCCAGACGGCCCAAGTGCTGCCCAAGGCGGACCAAGAGGCCCCAAGACGGGCCCAAGAGGGGCTCAAGAAGGGAACCGAGAACTGAAAAATCGAGCCCTCCGCCCCAGAAGGCTCCCAGGACCCCGAAAGAGGCCCCAAGAGACTCTCCAAGACACCCCCAAGACGCCCCAATAAGCTCCCGTGAGGCCCCAAGAGGACCAACAACGTCAGGCCCCAGGCCCCAAGAGGACCAACAAATGCCGCCAAGAGCCCGCCGAAAGCCCCCCAAGGGACCGTCACGAGAGCTCAGGAGGCCCCCTGGAGGCCTCCCGAGTTCTCCAAGAGGCCTAAAAAGAGGCGCCAAGAGGCCCCAAACGGCCCCACCGAGGCCCCAAGAGGCCACGAACGCGCAAGCAAACGCCTGCGATGGCACAATACGGGCCGGCGGAATGAGCGAAGCGATTAAATGATAAGGAGAAGGTCATACCCTACGCAACTCGTAGTCTGCTCGCACCCCTCCTTCGTATTGCCCGCCTGGCGGTACTCGCAGCTGCACATGGTTGGGTCCCTCGCCAGAATAATGTGAATACGGGCGCTTGTGTATCTCGGGAGGGCCAAGGAGAGTTCAAAGACCCAAATGAAGGCATCCTAAACCCCCTATGCGGCCCAGGGCAGCCCCAAGAGGGCCTGCCCCAAGAGGACCCCAAGATGGCCAAGAAGATCCGAAGAGACTTCAGGGACAGTCCCAAGAAACTTTCCAGACAGCCGAGAGAGGTCCTAAGCGGCACCAAGACAACTCCAGAGAGCCCCAGGAAGATCCAAGAGGGTCCCAAGCAGACCTCAAAAGGGTCCTCAGAGCGCCCCACAGGAGCCACAGACAGCCCCAGGACGGCACAGGCAGCTCTCATGAGAGCTCGAAGCGTCGCCACACTGAGTGCCTGCGCTGGCACGGTGCGGTACTTGCCCCAGACAGCTGGGCAGCTAGCTTTCCCCGACGCCGTGTGAAGATCAAGGACCGCTGATCTCGCCTCGACAGAACAGCGATTGCGCCGAGGTCTGGACCTCAGAATTTCATGTCCTGCCCAATGCCTTCGCCACGATGACGAACGTGACTACAGCAGGCACATCCGCCACTGTGCCTCTGGGCACGGAGTGGGCGTGTCCTCAGGTCCTTCGGCCAATCCCCTCAGCCTGAGCCCTCAGTCCTGAAGAGTTTCTGAGGGCCCCGGAGCCCAAATTCACAAATCTCCCGGGGCTTGGCGCGGTTCCCTGGGGCCTTGGCGCATCTTGTCGCGTGACTTTTTCGGGCCCAGGCACGGTGACGGGAAAGGCCGAAGGCCACTGGACATGCTTGGCATGGGGACGGAAAGCGCGTTTATTGTGTGAGGGCCCGAGGTCGCTGGCTAAGTGTCTTCGAGCCGTGTTGGTGTCAAGGCTTCGGTACGACATACAATCGAGCAACAAACCTTGCGAAGATCACTGAATATTGCATTGCCGGGACTTCATGGGGGTCCTCTTGGGGCTCTTTTGGACCGTCTTGGGGCCCTTTTGGGCAGTCCCAAGACCCTCTTGGGCCGTCTTGGCGGGCTTGGATCGTCTTTTGGCCCTCTGGGAGCCTCCTGGGTCCCCTTGGGGACCTCCTGTGGCTCTCTTGGGGCTCTCTTGAGAACCTTTTGGGGCCATGAGGGGCCTTTCTTGGGCCGTCTTAGGGCCCCCAAGAGGTCCCCAAGACGACCCGTGAGGCCTCCAAGGGCATCCAGGAATGCCCGAAGATGCCAAATTCATTGGTTACCCTTAGGTGTTTGAAGGATTTGGGCATTC